GGGCTTGATTTTTGATTCGGCAAGGGTATACAAATTTCGGCTTCCCAAAGTTCCTTGCCTTTCTTTTTTCTTCCCTTTTTTTGGGGTCTAAACGGAAGTACTTTTTCTTTGAGCCTCCCTCGCCCCCAATTGTTTTGTCTGCAGTTATTTTTTCTGGCCGGTTCCTTTTGTTTTTTTGACTTCAGCTTTGGCTTTGAGTTTAATTCTGATAGATGATGCTGATTGCAGGGAAACCAATAATCAGGAGCAAGGACCATTTTCACAAGCCCTTCCCGGAGGTTAATGGTGCGTCGGTCGTGGAAGTTTTTTGGAAACGGTTGTTGCCAAAAATAAAGCGCGTCCTTTAAGCCCTCACATCGTACATCTTGGCGTACAGGCACGAACTTTTTGGGGGACACAAAAATACAAGGAGAGTACAAAAAAATGTGGAAAGTATGGAGCAAGTAGCTTTTTTGGGGAAGAAAAGAAGCCACAAGCCGCAGAGTCCTGGCCCTGAGCATTGGTCCTTGCCTTGTTTTGTTTCTTTCACTTCTTTGTGTCCTTCTTTGTTGATTTCTTACCCTTTTTGGTGGCAAGGGTACTTGGGTTTTTGGGTAGGAGTTCCGGGAAATGGGTTATGAATTTGTTTATAAATATTTTAAGGGGTTAAAGGGAGCTTTATAAAATGTTTAAATAATATTCTCTCATTATTAAATAATTTTTATTTACAGAAAATGTACTATTAAAACCTTTGATTACATTACCTTTAGCCAAAACCCTTAAAAATACATTTGATATATGTTTTCTTTTAATTTTTTAGACTAAGCTCCTCAATATAATAAGTTTTTTTGTTGCGTCTTAAGATTTATTTAATGAAATTTAGCCAACAATAGAGTATGATATACCTTTTGTTCCACCTAAGAGCATTTAATCTTCTTCTAGAGACAACCATTTTATCTATTATTTTTTTCTGTTGCTTCGTTTTCTTTTGGGCCTGTTATTCATAGCTTATAAAACAATTCCCCTGGCTATTGCGCTCTAATGTTGGCCAAGCTTTCGGCTCGTCCTTGCGACTCCTCCGAAAAAAAAACCCAAAACAAAAAAACGAAACAGGAGGAAAAACAACAAAATTGGGGAGAATGAAAGCAGTGGTCGTATGACTACTTAAGGTAAATAGATGACACGACGAGGCCGCCCACTTGCCACCCCCTGAATTCCACCCCTGGCTCACCTTGCCAATGCTGATGATGATGTTGCTTATGTTGTAAACATTTTAAGCAAATTGTTTAGGTAAATAGATAAGACGTGACCTTTCTGACACGGGGTCGCAAATGCATTGTCAGTGTCACCGGTGAGTGGTGCTCCTCCGCCTCCTCCGCCCACTTTTAAGGAGGGTTGGCTTACGTCTGGCTAATGTATTACTTAGCGTTATTATGCCTCTTGCTTGCTTTTTCCCAAACATATCTCCCAAGTATTATTGTCAATTATAAAAAAAGCGACGGCCACAATGCACATACATATCGTATACGAATAATAGATACCATAGCGAGGAGAGGACTCTCGACTATTGTTGTGGTTTTTCGTCGTCCTGGGCCTTTGTGCGCCGCCAACAATGGTGTCCTCTTTGTCGTCTTTAAGTTGGAAAATATGCAAATAAATAACGATAAAGTAGGTAAAATTGTCTGGCCAACAACCCGAGCTAGGCTTTGCCTCTGTCGCAACAACTAGACCCTAGAGAGGACTGAGCCTGAGCAAATCCTTAATGACGGGGGAGGTTCAGCTGGGCCTTATATGACCCCAGGGCCATATGCCAAAAGGCGTGAGAGCAGGGGACCCGAGAGTAAGCCTGATTCTGATATGGCCACTTAGGCGTTGCAGAAGGGGAAAAATCTTATGTGACGCCAAGGATCAATTTGATTGGGGTGGATTTTAAAAAAATATCTATTTAAAAATTTAAAGTGTTAAGGAAAGCGTGTTAAATAGAGAAAGATGCTTGTTTAGTTTTGATTTATAAAATATATTAAAGTGAGAAAGATCCAATAAGCAGGCTTGGCTCTAAAGCTGTTCTAGAAGGAGGCCACTATAAGCTATTAATATTGAAAAAACTGCATTGATTTTAGGCGTCAAAGCTCATTTATACATCGATATTTTGCAATAACAATAGATCAGCATATAATTTAAAATTTTAGATAAATTTTTGATAACATTACTGCACCCTAGAAGAGCTTTAACTAATTTTAAACTATTTTTATGAAGGCTTGAAATAAATATCCAAATTATATTGAATGCATCGTTGAATGTATACTTATTTTAATTAAATTTAAAATAATCTCTGACACTATTTGCACATAATTTCAATGTCCCCTTCGTGGGATTACATGTGTTTGACCAGCGATAAACCAATATTAAATATGTATAATAAATATTTATTATGTAATGTGTAGCTTTATATATATATTTTTACCCCCTGATGACCGAGATAAGGTCTGTTGATTTACGCGGCCCTGAACTCTCGCGGCCAAATCGCATTTGAAACACATTTCGGAATTGAATCGTAATACACATCAAATTCTGTATTATCTCGGACCCACAATTTAATTCTCTTCGGCAGGAAAGTTTCCGAGGATTCGCTGTCCTTGAAAACCACTTAGCCGTCGCTCTATAAGTCTTTGGGGCTAAGCCTGATATTGTCGGGGCAGCGAATTGTTTTTCTTTTTTACTTTGCTTTCCTTTTTTTTTTTTTGGCATCGGGTCTTTTTGCTATTTATGCCTCTTTGATGGCCCGTCCAAGGCAGTTTTTTTCTGTATATTTGGCTCAGCTTGCTGATTATTTCCATTCAATTTGGCCGTTTTGCGTTTTCGGGCTTTCAACAAGTTGTAGCCTTGACAATATTCCCTGGAAAAAATGGAGGGGGAAATATGAACACAAAACAAACAATTACCGCGGCAACAGGGCAACTCCCTCGCCTGGGTTTTGCGTAAAAAGGGAACTTCCCTTTTTCCCTTCGTGGCTCTAAATATATTTTTTTTTTGTTCCTCTTTCCGTTCGGTTTTTTGCAGCTGCCAAAACAGTCAAGTGTTTCGGCCTTTGTTGTTGGTGTTTACCCTCCCTCGGCTAATCGAATTTGATTGCTTCACACTGATAAGAGCAGCTGCCTCAAAGATTTCGCCCCCGCCCCTATTCGCAGATCCTGCATCCTGGATGGCCCCGATCCCAGCAGCACCACTTGAGCCAGTGGAAGGCCCTGGCCTGGCCGGATTTTTATTGCGTTTCATGTTATTGTATTAGCAAAGCATCCGCATCCGTGGCATATGCTTTAAATATATACAACTCTACTTTTTTTAAGGATTACCTGGAGTTGAAGTTGGTGGAATAGTATAGACTAGGGGTTAAGGATGTGAGGGATATTAAATAAAGGATACTGACAAGTTTACACTCATTTTATGATGTAATTATACCCTTGCAGGGTATTATAATTTCAGTCAGAAGTTTGCAACGCAGTGAAGGAGACGTTTCCGACCCTATAAAGTATATATATTCTTGATCAGCATCAACAGCCGAGTCGATCTAGCCATGTCCGTCTGTCCGTCTGTCCGTCTGTCCGTCCGTCTGTCCGTCCGTCTGTCCGTCCGTCTGTCCGTTTCTACGCAAACTAGTCTCTCAATTTTAAAGCTATCTGAATGAAACTTTGCATGTAGTCTTCTATATACTCTCACTGCTATATATGTCGGAACGGGCCGGATCGGACGACTATATCATATAGCTGCCATACAAATGTTCAATAAATTTTTAGAAAAAAAATTATAACTTGGCTGTTTTTCAACATTTTTGCACCATTTTTTAGATATGGCCATTTTATATTATTTCAGAATTTCGGTAAAAAATTCATGAAAATCGGACGACTATATCTTATAGCTGTCATAGGAACGATCGGGAAATTAATAGAAAAAACATTATAACTTCGTTGTTTTTCAACCTATTTTTATCTACTCTGAGATATAAGCTAATTTTATTAGTTCAGAATTTTAATATAAATTTTATAAAAATCGGACAACTATATCATATAGCTGCCATACAAACCGATCGGTAGATGTAGAGAAAATGTAAAACTGGGAATGTAAAACTGTAACTGTCAAACTCTAAACAATAAGTATAGGTAAAATTTAATGAAATAATATCTGCAAGGGTATACAAACTTCGGCGTGCCGAAGTTAGCTTCCTTTCTTGTTTTATTGTTATTTCAGAATATATTATTGTTAATTTACAAGAAAAATATTTAAAAAATAAAAGAATAAAGTTTAGTTGTACAAATATAATATTTTAGCAATATTAAACCCGTAATCCTTCTAGGATCATCGCCTAGTCGCAATCCCTCTTTAAAAACTGGACCCTTGAACTCAAATTCTTTGTTAGATTTTGCGTTTTGTTTGCTTTGCTGATTTCATCGCCGATTTTTATGTGCCCCTGCGTTTATTATTCTTTACGTTTTTCGCGCCTCATTTTAACCCCTTTATTGGATTTCCTTACCCTTTCCAGAGTCCTTTTCCGCGCGTGTCGAGCGGAAATGCCTCATTTTTGTTCCAAAGTGTTTTGCATTTTTGTGACTTTTCCCCCCCGGTTTGTATGTTGCTGTTAGATTTTTGCCTTTTGGTTATTTTTTTTCCTTGGTACGATATGCAAATGCGCTGCTGGTTGTTATTTGTGCTGGGGATTTGTTTTAAGCGCCCCTCGTCGCCCTCTCCCTCCCGCGTGTTACTCATATGTATTTGAGTTTTAGTTTAGTTTTTGTCATCCCGACATGGGATATATGGAGCGCGCTGAGCTCAGCTTTTCGGTTTACTCCTGTACAAATTGTTTTGGGTTTGTTTTTTCCGTTGATTTATGCATTTGAAATTTAGAAGGAAAAACTAGAAAATGCGGCAGATATTTCAACATTTTTGAAATCAACGAAATCTATGGACATAACTTGCATTTTAATGTTGAAATTAGCACATTGATCAGATTTTGGGAACATAAAATTTGTGTTTTTTATTAAACATTTTAAGACTTCTGGAAAGAGAATACCAATACAGTTTTAGCCAAGATTATTTGAGTTTTTTAAAACAAGGAACACTGTCAATCTAAACTTATAAAATTATAAAATCCTCTCAAAACTTCATGCATATTACGAAATATAAAACTCCTTTCAGGTTTTCGTGCATCCCTGATATTTATTTATATCTTTCCGAACCATAAACTTCCAGTCGGCCGGCAGCAACCCCTCAAATATGGGAATTCTCGCCAAATATCTGCAATGTTAGAAATCAAAATTAACAATTATTATTGTTAATTACAGTTCAACTATAACTCACTTGTTGAGAAATTTATTGGCGTCTGCCAGTGACTTGAAAACGATCGCCTCGACATCGGGTATCTGGACTATAAAGAAGGAAGCCTGCACCCAGGCTGGATAAGCTGGTAAGTTATTGGCATACATGAAGCCAAATTGGGTTATTTTCTTTTTATCCAGCGGCACAGATACTGGAGCCGAGATGGGAGCCTGATTTGGAGAAAGTTTTTGGGATGCAGGACCTATTCCTAAGGACGACGTAGCAGCTTTTATTCCTAAAGCTTGGGGGTTTACGAGCAGGCTTTGTCCGGTGGTCAACTGCGAAGGGCGCGAGGTCGTAGCCTGTTCAGGACGAACTCCTAGGCTAGTCGTGCTTCCGTTGGTCAACTGCGAAGCGCGTGATGATGATGCCACACTTGCTGCTGGAATTTTCGTGATGAGCACAGGTATGGGAATCATAGGTTTGGTTTGGCTTTGAACCACTTGAATATTGACTGGCATATTTTGTCTAGGATACATATTCAGGACTTTGCTCTGATCCTGCAAAACAGGTGCTAGAGTCGAGGCTGCATTAGGATTCAGACAACCTCCTGGGGAAGTGGTGCCTTCGTTGATCAACTGCGAAGGAAGCGAGGATGACACCTCACCTGTCGCTACAATTTTCTTGATAAACACTGGTTGGGCAGTCATAGGCTTGATTTGGCTTGGCAGGGTTTGACCATTGACTGGCATATTTGGTCTGTTGTATATCTTCAGCAATTCCCGCGGAGTTTCTAATGAAGGTTGCTGTGGAGCGGCCACAGGTGGAGTCAACTTCTGGGTAACGAATGAGGTGCAGCCTGCTGCGTCCGCCTTACTGATCACTAAAGCGTCAGTAGTTGCAAAGTTGCCACTGATTGGAACTTCTGGGTTTTCATTAGTCATTAGGCTAGTGATCTTTGCTGTTGGGGGTTGGGCCGGGACACTGCTATTGGGGAGCTTAGCTGGCACCTGGGGCGACAGGTATTCAACGGAGATTATTACCGGCTTGTCATGCTTAGGGGGTACTACGGCCTTGGATAGGTCCACCTCAAAGCTCTTACCAGGATTTTGGTTATCCATTTCCACATTCTTCACCGTAGATTCTTCAAAGTTATCCACCGCAGAAAGCAGCTCTGCCTCATCGCTGTGTAAGATCTCCAATCTAGAAAGCAGATCCTCCTCATCGCTGTCAATGATCTCCAACTTAGGAAATACCATTTCCTCATCGCTGTCTAGGATCTCCACCGTCGGCAGCAGCACTTTTTCGCGCTCCTTATCTTTCCGTGCAATTTCCCTTTGGTACTGATCCAAAGAGGCTGCTTTAGGCTCGGTTTTGGTCTCCGTCTCGCTCTCGGTCTCGGTCTCATTCTCCGTCTGTATGGAACATTCTGCTCCAGGAATCAGCAGCTCTTTTGGCGAGTTCTCCGGCACTGGCAACATCTCCGCTGGCATCTCATTAAGGGGAATCACGGTAAGCGGAGAAATCTCCTGACAAAGATTGTGTCCCAGGCGTTTAATGTGCCAATATCCCGCCATGCCCAGCATTCCCACCACACGATTTTTGGTTTTATCCTTTTGCCAGCCTCTCCTCAAAAGCTGCAATGCCAGCAGAGGCAGTGCATCTTGATTGATGGCATTTCTAATGTTTACACAATTTTTGGCTGCTAAAACGGAGGGCGTTTGGTTGACAGTGGTAACCGCCATGAGAAGACTGGTCTCCGTCTGCACAGCCCAAACGAAGGCGTTGCGCGCATCAAAGGCGGCCAGTAAGTATTCCCACTGGCAGAGGATGAAGCATCCCTCTATGGGAAAAGGTATGAGCTTGTAGTTGAGCACAACTGTTATGGTTTCCTTTCTGGCACTATCAGCCTTTGTCTTGAGCTCAGGCTTTGCCTTGCGATTCTGATAATAGTCCTTCATTACGTCCTCCGATCGCCGCTGAGAGCTGCTGGTGGCCACTTCAGGGTGGGCTAAGGTAGTGTCCTGCTCGATGACCTGGTCCTCATGTGACTCACGGCCGCAGAAGTTTTTGGACAGCTCCGGCGTTGGGTTTAAGGTGTCCAGCTTTTGCTGGACCGGAGACGGATGGCAGCCAGTGGCAGTAGGATGTGCTGATGCTGCTCCCATAGATTTTAGGCTCTCTGAACTCTCCGACACCTCACTTTCCAAATCTTCCTCAATGCCATCTACATAGTTTTTTGAAGGTAGTGTACATTGATGCTTCTTACCCTGCAAATCGTTGAGCGGCAGCATTTCATTTCTGTCAAAGACCAAATTGCAGGTGAAGTCCTTCTCGTTCCTTTTTAAAACGACTTTGGGAATGCGGTGTAAGTTGTAGGCATCTGGAAAAAGAAAGCGTTTATAGATTTAAGGATAATACTAAAAGCTAAAACTCACCATTAGCATCTGCAGGTGTATCTATAGAAGTGGTACTCGGTCGACGTAGCTCATTGGACATACCAATTTGCTGGCCTGTTGGTTGCTTTGCCTTTGAGGATGTGTTATCCTCCAGCGCAGGGATCTTGTTCGGGAGCTTGGGGCTTGGTTTTTCTATATTCACCAATAGCTCGTCGTCGAGCTGCTCCTTCTTCTTATAAAACTTCATTGTGCGCATCTTCTCGTAGTAATTGAGCAAACGCTGGGACCACTGACGCACGTTCCTGAGACGGCGCTTGATCATCTGCTTCAGTCGGGAATCGAAAAGCACACCGGGTACGCGTCGCACGAGGCAAACGCGATGGCTTCCCTTTCGCCGCCAAACATAGGTTTTTAATACTCTTTTATTATTTGACATCAAGGTAAGCAAAGCAATTTTATAGCTTTTTGTGGCAATGTTCACAATAAGAAATTTGGCCACGCGGTTAGACACTTCAAGAAAAGTCTTAAGGGATCACTTACACTTGCGAAATTTTAATAATAAAGATGCACATATTCCAACAAGCACAAAAGATAGCAAAAGTCACGTAAAAGCCACCTTTAGGAATCACAATAATTTAGTTATTTTTACTTTTAGATCTAGTCTTCCGCATTGCACATGTTGCACGTTTGCGGAAATGAAGAAGAAAGTAAAAAGTCTGGTCAGTCTGAGCCAATGTTGCAAGATGGCGTATATCGATTGTGGAAATATCGATAAAAAACATAAAAATCATTAGAGGAAATATGAATAATTAAGTGGGATGCTTATCTATTTCTGTTCCCACTGCTCTTTCCGTTGTTTTTTAATGAAAAATATAAGTTTATAAAAATAAAGCTATTAAATTTGGTGCCAGAGAGGCGGGAGAAACCGAAAAACTCAACGGTCTCCAGTTTGCCACCACAAGCAGATCCACAGTTGGTCTGATTCCTGACTGTTCCCAGTTCAATGTATTCAAGAGGAAGACTAAATATTTTAATAGCTTGCAAAACCACGTGGTTTTCTATTTTTATACCCTTGTAGGGTATTATAATTTCAGTAAGAAGTTTGCAACGCACTGAAGGAGACGTTTCCGACCCTATATATTCTTGATCAGCATTAACAGGGGAATCTTTCTAGATATGTCCGGAAGAAATCGATTTTTTGGCCATTTTTGCAAAATTTTAGAAGGGGTTACATCATTAAAATTTTTGATTTCGATAAAAAATTGAATTTTCAAAATTTTTAAATGAAGTATGCAGATTTATTAATTGTAGAAAATCTTGCACAGAACAGTTTTCCGATTTAAAATTAATGCTCTTTTGCCCGAGTAATGATATTTTTAATTTTAAAAAAATTTAAGAAGTTTTTTAATATAAAAAATCCGATTCTATAATACAAAATAATATTTTTCTAAGTCAAGGAATCATTTCCGACCCCATAAACCATATATATTCTTGATCAGCATTAACATACGAATCTTTCTAGACATGTCCGGAAGAAATCGATTTTTTGGCCATTTTTGCGAAATTTGATAAGGGGTAACCCCTCATTAAAATTAGCAAAAATGGCCAAAACTTTTGATTTCTTAAAATTTTAAATTTGGTATGCAGTTTTTTTAAATTAATAAAAACTAACACAAAACTGCTTTCCGAAGCGAAATTAATGCATTTTTGGCTTAGTTATGATATATTTTAATTGTTACCTGCAAGGGTATACAAACTTTGGCTGGCCAAAGTTAGCTTTCTTTCTTGTTCTATGCATGCATGTACTATTTCCAAAGTACCCTCAATTTTACAATTTACAAGAGTTTTCTAGCTCTTAAATCCAGTCGATCGTATGGCTCACTTCAAATTTATGGTCTCTGCAGTCAATAGGTCATCAATCACGTAACCAGAAATCAGAAAACCAGAACCCAAAGAATCGAATCGAAAGTTCACTGGACTGTTGGACAGAATTGAAACCTCGGTGAAGGCTTAATGCTGCTGCCTCAGCAGCCACCAAAGAGGCGAACCGAGCTGAACCGTGCGTCATAAATAAAAGAAATGAAATCATTTCGAGCAATTTGTCTACAATTTTGTGTCACACTTTCTGCGCCATTTCTCACATGCCATAAAAATGCTACACACACACACACACACGCACACACCCTGGACGACACCCATCGATGGGAAGGAGTCGTGGTCCTGGCCACCCGGCAAGGTGTCACGCTGATAAATGGCTCTGCCTTACTTACGCCAACTTCTTCACTATCCCTCAGGTGGCCGCTCCTCTTAAAAAGAGAGACCTTCCAAGCCCCAAGCCCTGCAGCATAAGAAAAACCACCCATTCCCTTGGACATTTTGCGTTTATTTTTCACGAAAAACTTTTCCATTTCTCGCCCTTTTGCCGTGTGCCAATTTCAAGAAAGATTTCCTTTAAGTATAATAAAATGCAGTGTCGCTGTCATAAATCTATTCCGCTCGATTGTCTCCGCGACGCCGCAAAATTGAAATGCATTGACATTGAAAAATTTCTAATAAAAGCAGGAAGAGGGGACACCGAAAAATTCAGCACAAAGCGCTTCAAACTTTTTGGCATTTTGCGCAGTGTTAATACGGAAATTAAATATTTTGAATAGCGAGAGAAGAGCAGCGGAAAAAACAACAACGACAACGACAGGGGGAGGGGGAGTGGCAGCGACAGAGTCTCGAAACAATTTCAAAACATTTTAGTTGACAGCGACCCGGGGTCACACACACAGCGGAACGCGAACAAATACATTCACAAGCGCTGGTCATGTTTGCGCAGGGAAGTATGCTACACATTCATCCATATTCCACGAAAAACAAGCGAGTCCTTGAGTGTGTGTGTGTGTAAAGGATGTTCTGGGTATGCTTTTCTCTGGGGAAATTGATTACAGGAAATTAGAATTTTTTTAAGTTCCTATTAAAGATTATGGAAGTTAATTAAAAAGAAAAATTTACCAATAAAACGGATAGAAAATGTTCTTGAAAAAGAGTATTTTATAAATAGAAATTATATATTTAAAGCTTGAATAGTCTCTTCAACATATTTACATTTTTTATTAGGTAAAAGAATTCCATAACATTTTTAAAATATTTTCTAAACTCTGTTAAAAAACTCTAAAGGACAAATCCTCTTTCAAGATTTATTAAATTTATTTCCAAGTCTTTATAAATTATATTTTATAGTAATACTTTAAATTCTTGTACCTTATTTCTCTACTTTAACTTTACGAGTTATTTTACTATACTTTTAATTACTTTTGAACACCATTTTTGTTATGCAGAACTTCCCCTCAATTTTTAAGCATAACTTTGTTCGCCATACATATAGTTTTTTTGTTGCCGTCTGACAAAAACGTTTTTGCGAGTTGGCTTAAAAATTCTAATAACACAAATATTTGCAGATGAAAGAGGTACTAAAAGGCATTTGGCCGCATGCTCCACTTGTCAACTGTCGACGGGGACAAAAAGAGACAAGGGGGGGAAGGAGTACTGTAACCAGACCCAATGACCCCTGACCCCACTCCATCTGGGGTTCGTCCATCACTCAGGGATCCCGGTGTCGTCCCTGGGCTGGCACACTTTTTGACAACGTCAGAAAACTGGAAAAGCGGCAAGAGCTGCTGTTGGCCAACAACAGCAGCAACCAGCCGCAGACGAACGGACAAGTAATAGCAACAACATACCAAAACAAAACTCCTAGAAATAACAACTAAAAAGACTACTAAAAAGGGTAGCAAAAAAATCCTATAGTTTTCCCATTTTTCCACCTTTTTTTTTTGTAATTTTCGTTGCATGTTTGCTGCGTTTTGCACTCTTGCTGAACATTTTTCATCTGTGCTGGGGAAAACTTTTTGACATGTTGCTGTGCAAATTGAATAAGTCCGCACCGACACATACGCAAAAAGACATTGCCAAATAATGGCTAACACACACACACAGACACACGCTCACACAGAGAGACAGACAACCACTTTGTTTGTTTCTTTATCCCAAAACGCCGCCCCAGGTCGCAATAATCAAATTTGCAGCATCCATCCGGCATCCCTCCGCACTTCATCATTTCACCTGGCACTGGCCTGACAGCCTCTGATCCCTCTCCTGATGCACTTCCTCTATGTGTTGCTACCCCTTTTGTGATATTGCTAAGTTTATTGCCACTCAACAAGGGGGGGTGCTAACTAATTTCACAGCTCAAAGCCGAAATTTCGACAATCATATGTAGGAGCCTGGCCAATGATAAACAGCTTTGCGGTCGATTCCTAAAAGGGCTATTGTGGAGGAGAGCCACTAGAAATTGGTAAGAGCACCGAAAGAGTTGTAAGCGGCTTTGGGGATTCCGGGAAACGGGGTTTTTCGGGTCGATTTGGGGTTCCATGGAAATTAAATGCAGGAAATATAATAACAAGCGACGGGTTTATATATTACTTACTGTTGGAAAAATATTCTTAAATATTTTAAATTATTTTCAATACTTTTGCTAATTATTTATTGGTGTTTAAGAGTTAAGAATTCAGCCCCAAGACATTTATACCAAATTTTCCCAGGTTTCTATCTTACTTATTAAGTAAAATATTTAATTATTTAGATTGGAAAAATATCTTTAAATATTCTTAATTCTATTCTATACTTTTAAAGTATATTTCCTCATTCATTTTAAAAATATTGAATGTTGTCTAGAATTTCATATTACATTTTTGAGAAGATATATGCCATAGTATTCAAAAGGTTTTCTCTTTCATTTACATTATTTAAATATTTGTTAAATATTAATATACACCTTATAATACCTAATAGTAGTTAGAAGTAAATATTAAATTTCCTCAAACTATATTCCCCTTTTTCCTAGATATTACTCATATTCAAAATTGTTACACTTTCTTCTCTTTTCCTTCAATAATATCCACATTTTTCTTATATTTTTTGTTTCTGGTCATTCCCATTTCAGCAAACTCTGTGCATTCAATCTTTGGCCATGATAGAAGACACCCACAAATTGAATTCATCGCCACACAAAGTGCATGGGGCCCGGGCCAAAGGAGGGGGCAGCAACAAAAAGAGGTAAGTGCTTTTCCCTCCACAACTCCTGGCGGTCAAAACTGTAGCCTCCCAGGCCGTTATCCAATTTCTGTTTTGGCCATTGCCTAGGCCTGCCTGCGCTCACTTTGTCTTGGCGTTTTCGACACGATTTTTCTTCATTTTCCGAAATCAATCAAATGCAGGCATCCGTTCTGAAGCTGCTCCTCCCTTTCCTTTGAACAGGAGCAGGCAGGAGGCAGAGCCTGTCAGCAGCGACACCCGATCCTGGGCGAGCTCCCCTGTTCCTCCTGACTGCCAAGCTCGCTTGTTGGACATTCATCAAGCCATTTCATCTATTGACTGATTGATAATATT